CAGCTAACCAGTATTTTCGCCCCTTCCCAAAATTACTTAAACGGAAGGTTTCCAGATGGATATGCGGAGCAAATCCATCCATCAAATCCACCACCGTGCCTGGAAGTTGAGACGTCCATTGCGAGTGAATTAGACCCACTCGACAGAGTAAAACAGGTTCACTCTTATTTTAACAAATATGAAAATTTGATTATTCAGAAAAAGAAAATTAATTAAAAGCTGCAACTGTAATCCTGTTCATGACTGGAGGAAAACTAACAGTGAAGCGTTCAGCCTCTGATATGAGGTTTAACTTTTAATATTTGCTCTTCCAGGTTGTTTAGTTTAGGAAAGGCGAAGCTTTGAAAGAGAGGAGAGAAAAGCTTCAGATGGGATCTTAATGAAAGCTGAATAACGACGGTCTGACCTGCATGGAGTTCCATGGCTTGATGAAGGTGCAGATCAGATCCAGCTGATCCTCCGGTTCTTGGACCTGAATCTGGCTGCCAGGCTTGTAGCTGGAGAACAGACTCCTGCTTCGGGCCCTCAGCTGGTTCAGCATGGCGTCGCTCACAGGGGACACATCCCAACAGAAACGCTTTCAACCAGAAGAAGAGAAAACATCCTGCAGGTTTTCTTTTCTCCTCACATTCAGATCAGACCTGCCTCAGAGAGGAGAAGTCGTCATCCGGCGCCGCTGGCTGAGATGATCCGGGTGCTTAAAGTTTTAAGCACTATTATCCTCTGCGGTCCATCTTTCCACGTCTCTCTCTCCCTCTCTCTCTCTCTTCATGTCGCCACAAATCTGCCGGATTTACAGCGAGATCAGGAGCTAAACACTTAAAAACTTTATAGGCGTCATTATGAGGCTTTGCTTGCTGAAGATGAGTTAAAGGTTACAGCTCAGGTTTTTATTCCTCAGTTAAACCGTTATGTTTCAAATAAAACTGATACTGAGATGAATAATCTGCTAATTTAATCCACTAATTTTTTAAATCTAAAGAATAATTTTCCTTATATGTGAGGATTATGAGGAGCTGTGCTATGCTGGCTAATCTAGTAAAGAGGATAAATTTGGACTGGATTAAAATCCTTCAGGAGGATTTTATCTTTATGACCAAAAAGATTCAGGTAATAAATCCATTAATTGAAAACTTAATGGAGGCACTCGGCATAAAAAGGTCAGATAAACGGATCAGTTGGACTTCAGTTCATAAACTCCTGTAATCCTGTAATTTGCTTTGATTTGATTCATCGTTTAAAAACATTTCAGGTCCTGAGAGATTAAAACAAAACGACTTAGGAAGAATCGGACGATTGGGAGATGATTGGCGACACATGGATCTATCGGGGGTGGCCATCTTTGATGCGGTGGAACCTTTATCTGGTCCAGAGCACTGGGTGGAGATCAAGGAACGGTTCTGCGGTGGTTCAGATCCTCCTCTGCTCCTCTCTTATATGGAGTCCCTCAGGGTTCTGATGTGGGTCCCCTTCTTTTTGCTCTTTGCTCCCACCTGGTTAAGTTCTTGGGAAGCACTTTTCCCTTTGATGCAGACGGTAGATTTATTTCTCACCGAGGCGAAACAAACCTGTTTCATCACTTCTGACATGTTTGGAAGATGTGAAATTTTTAGACACTTGAACATTTTTCATTTTGTATATACAGATTTTATTTTTTCTAATTATACCTTTTAGATGATGGAAAGTGCGGCCATCTTTAATGCTTTTATCATCTTTCCTTTTAAATTTTTAGGTTCTGTTTTACTTGAAGCAGCTCAGTATAAATGGCCATAATGTTGAATTAATGTCTTTTTTGGTTTTTCTGCTGGGATTAAGTGTTGCTCCTAATCCCATTCCATTTCCAGATCTACTTTCTTGCCTTCAGTGAAGGAAAATCTTCCCACCTTACATCTCATATAACCAGATAAATGAGCCGTATCGGTTCAAACTCCGTATAGAAAATCAGTTCAGGTTTGTTTTCTCAGAGGAAACGGCAGACTGAGCCCTGAAGCTTCAGAATTTAACATCTTAAGTCCCTCTCCTCCTTAATCCTGGTTATTATCCGACATTTCGCCTCCGAGCGGTTGGATAAGATTAATCCGGCTGGCAGGAAAATGGGGATAATGAACGCAGCTCTGCGGCTGTCATGGCGTCTCAAATGCCATCCTAACATTTGGGGAAGAGAACATCTGGAGCTGCAAACAACTCGGAGCATTTAGATCCCGTCATTACCTGCTATATGGTTCAGTTTATAAAAATGTTAGTTTTAATGAAAAAAAATAAGAATTTTCCACTGAGGTCAGAGTTGAACGGACCTAATAACCTTCAGACCAAACGCCTTTAGGCCATGGCTCCTTTAACGGCAAAAAGGCCAGGAGACCAAGCATGAAGTTTAAAGGTGGGAGGAAGATTTATTCTCTGAGAAAAGTAGAATCTTGATGTCCAACATTACTGGCAGGAGGAGGAGAGGCCAGCTGAGATGTTTAATGCGGCGCCATCATGGTCTGGGCTGCCCTTCACCTTCCTTCAGTGGAACAATGGCGCCCCAGGCTGTTCAGGAGGTCAAACAGCAGCTGGCTGAGTGGAAATGTTTCAGCAGCTTCCATCGTCACTGAGGGCTTTAGTCAGGGTGATGATCGGGTTTTATCGGCAGGACGTGAAACTCAGTCTGACCTGAAGTTTGTTCCAACATCAACTTTCTATTGGTCCATCCTGCACATTTCAAACCAACCGAGAACCTTTAGGGAGGTCCTTAAACTGGACTCCAGCTCCAGTTAGTTAGCTTCTACCAGCGTTATGGAAACACGCGCTTCCAGCAGGCTAATGCCGATTTATGGAGCTTCTCATTAGAGGCAGGATGGTAATCTGGATGAACTGACTGCACAGACCATGTTTTCAGGAGGACTTTCTCACTTCAACATAGATTCTAACTACTTTTTACCCGCTGATCACAGCTAATATAACTGCCATTGTTCCAGGCAAAGAAAGGATAGAGTAGCTCCGCCCACCGTGCATCAGACTAAGGGTGTGCAAAATAATAGTCACAAAGATGCATCGCGATTCTAATTTTTGTGATCTACTGCATCGATTCTTGAAGGCAAGAAACGATAAAAAAAAAAAAAAAATTAACAAAATCCATGAATGGTTGGCGCACATCAGCCAAACCAAGTGGAATACAACTTCCAGTCCAGCAGATGTCACTGCGGATGTGTTGACGCCCGCTGCTTTGTGTCACAAGCGCAGGATACTGCGACGAGTCATGAAATAAAACATGGAGGACACTATGAAAATTCGCCCCGCGGCTCAATCACATTTCAAGTCAGATGCTTGGATGCATTTTGGCTTTAAACACAAAGAAGGTAAAAATGAAATTGCTATGATGCACGTAATTTGCAAAAAGGGAAACATACATTTGAATGTTTTCATTTCATTGGTTTAAAGAACCACTGAGGCCATGTAAACGGGACTCATTATCCTTATTTTGTTATTTTAAGTTTTATGAATCCTAAGATCTTTTTGTCAGTGTGTCCACGCCAGTAATATTTCTGTCCAGTATTTGTTTCCATGGCAACACCTCCAAAAGTAATTTCAGTAAATACAGCTATGTATGAATTCAGTTGCTTTCAGTTATTTATCAATTGAAGACACGATCCAGATCACACCCATCCAGTCAGCCACTGGTAAGGGCTG